TACAAACACACAAATTATATATATATATATATATATATATATATATATATATATATAGATAGATAGATAGATAGATAGAGAGAGAGAGAGAGAGAGAGAGAGAGAGAAAAGAAAGAAATTCTTATATCATCTTTCACCCAGACATGCGCCTATCGTGTGTGAATACTAATATATTCTCAAGCATATATAAAGAAGATATCTATCCATCTATCTATCTATCTATCTATCTATATATATATATATATATATATATATATATATATATATATATCATTCTCTTCATATCTATCCATCTCATTCTCTTCATATCTATCTATTTATCTATCTAATTCTGTTTAAATCTTTTTCAGTCTGTTCATATCTATCTATCTATCTATCTATCTATCTATCTATCTCATTCTGTTCGGATCTATCTATCTATCTCATTCTGTTCATATCTATCTATCTATCTTAGAAAAACCATGAGAGCAGGTTAATTAAAGAATCATATTACAGGAAAGCGATAAATAAACAGTGTACACAGTGAGGTACTGCCCGACAAAGAACGAAAATTCGACTTATATGTTCGGAAGCGCAATCTTTTTTAGGCATGTTTCTGCGCAGTCGTGCCAGTGCATTCTGATATATGTACCTTCCTAACACTGAACATGAGAACGAAAAATAAACCCTGTATAAATGGGTGGACGGGAAAAGAGAACCAATAAGTGATAGCCAATATTTGATACAAAGATAGAGAGACAGTGGTTAAAGGGAGAGAGAAAAATCAAGGTACACACACACACACACAAACTCACACTCGCACACACACACAAACATATATATATATACATATATATATATATATATATATATATATATATATATATATATATATATATATATATATATATATCGAGAGAGAGAGAGAGTGAGAGAGAGAGTGAGAGTGAAAAAAGACACAAAAACCCAGACAATGTATTCAATGAGGAGAGACTAAGTTAGGAACTCACTGTGGTAGAAGGAGTGTGAAAGAGAGATACTGTGCTTTAAGGGAGCCCAAGAAAGAAGATGAAAAGCATCAAAGTTAAAGAGATGTATATGAGGAGAACGGAAATAAGATATGCGAAGGGACTGTGCGCATGCCCACACCATTTCCTCTTTGCATCCCTACAACCAACCCTCAACTCATCTAATTCTGCACGACCTGCTAAGGCGCCCCTTTCCTTAATTTTCCATAGCCGTCTTTCCCTTCTTTCCTGACAAATCAGGATTCCTACAACCTCCCATTCATTCCCACCCCCCATCATTCTTTCTCTTCCACCCCTTGTTCACCGTATTTCTATATGTCAGCTTGTCCTCATGTCTTCTGCTTTTCGAATTTCTCCCGCCGACCCCTGTTCCACATTTCGTTCGATCTTGATTTCGAAGACATTCCTTGCCTTTGTTTAGCAAGCTTTGTCTTATCCTTGCTTGCCTTACCAATCTTCTTCCCGATTCTGCACTTCTGCCTTGCACGTTCCTCTCTATAACTTCTACCTGCTCTCAAATCTTCTTGCTCTCTGGTTAAACTTTAGTCCTATTCCTTGTCCTGTATGTACAGTATATCTCTGAGCATCTTTTCCTTATTTGTTTGAGTCATTTCTCTCTTTTTGAAAATCATTCTTCGACATGTAACATCTCTTTCTGTACCTCAAATTTCCCTATCTATCTATCTATCTATCTATCTATCTATCTATCTATCTATCTATCTATCTATCTATCTCATTCATTTCATATTTATATCTGTTTTAGTAAGTTCATATCTCTCTCTCCTTTACACTATCTATCTATCTATCTATCTATCTATCTATCTATCTATTATCTATCTATCTATTCATATATTTATATCTGTTTTAGTAATCTATCTATCTATCTATCTATCTATCTATCTATCTATCTATCTATCTATCTATCTATCTATCTGGTAGCTATCACCAAATCCCTCTTTAGAACAGAGAGCATGATTCTACTTTGCATTTTTCTTTTCTTTTATTGCCACATTTCCCGATAACCTCTCACTCATAATATCTATCTATCTATCTATCTATCTATCTATCTATCTATCTATCTATCTATCTATCTATATATATATATATATATATATATATATAACACTCTTCATATCTATCTATCTATCTATCTATATAATTCATTTCATATCAATCTGTTTTAGTCATTTAATATCTATTTCACTCATTTCATATTTATCCCTGTTTAAGTTCATATCACCCTCTCACTCATACTATCTATCTATCTATCTATCTATCTATCTATCTATCTATCTATCACCAAATGCCTTTTTAGAACAGAGAGAATGATTCTACTTTGCATTTTTCTTTTCTTTTATTGCCACATTTCCGTTTTGTTTTGATTTTTATTTTATTTTTCAATTTTCTTTTGCACGCTTTCCGCCTATCGTTTGTATATTATCTTGGCATTTTTCTCTTTATTTATCTGTTTAGACAGCGATGTGAATAAAATGTTAAATCCCTAGAGAAAGAGTAAGTGAGACAAACAGATAGCCATTATGTAAATAAATATTTTCGCAATAAAATTATTATTAACTCAATAATTATGATAAAATTTACAGGACATACTCATATTTATAAATTAAATTTATCCTTCAACCTTCAGTTTACATCGGCGCAATTATCTACATGATTTGAATAAAATGCAAAGTTTTATTATTCAACTGACGTATTCTTCCGCATATTGTACATAAAAAATATAAAATATTCTAATTACTTATATATATATTTTAGAGATTGCCACGGGTCACCAGTATATTAAAGACTCCTAAGATGAAGAATATATTTTAATATTATTTAACAAAGGGTATACTGCATTTAAAAATGTGAAAAAATATCACAGTGCAGTAATAAAATAAAAGTGAAATTTTGGCAAAGTTACAATTAAAAAAAAATTGCTATCTTTAGGAATTTCATAAAAAGTGATATTACAATAATTTTATAGAGCAAAAATCAACAATGGTGATTGATCAAGAAAGGAAATATTTGAAGCGTTTTTTACTACAAATAAAAACAATGACATATTAAGAATAGCACGATGTTATTTCCCGTAACAGATGAGGTTTGAAGAAAACTACTTTCACTCAAGGTTATCTTAGGTAAGATAGCTTGACGGAACCAAACCCTCTTCACGCTTGTTTGAACTCAGAGATTTTCTTCTAAACTGGTTGCCAAACAAGGCCATAGTGCACCGTCTGTACTACTATCTACCCATATCTGTGATGAGAAGGGACGAATTCCTTCATTTCCAAAGTGTATTAGCGAGTAATTGAATGTAGTGAATGCGACAGGAATTCGAACTCGGCTATCCGAGTTATCAAACCGAGCCGCTATCCATTAAACCATTTCGGAATATGTGAGAACCTAATCGCCCATTTTTAGGTTCCCAGACTTCATAAGTTCAAGCGCCCTAAGAGGCTGGCATGCCACTCTCACCCCTTCACTGTCGAAACTCCCAAATGTGACCGTCTCTTCTACTCCAATAGCTTCATGTCTCGCACATCTCGCCTGTGAAACTCCCTTCCCTATTCCAGTTTCCCTGAGAGCTATAATCTCCAAAAATTCAAGTGTAATGTCAATCGACATCTCCAGTTGCCTTGATCTATCCACTACCCTTCTCCTCATCCTTTCTTCTACCACTCCTATCTGGTCTTGCTCCAAATTTTCTGTAACGCCTTGCGTCCTAGTGGCTTCCCGCCGTGCTCGGGGTGAAACGCTTAAAAAATAAAAAAATAAAAAAATGGAAAAATCACCAAGTGAAATGTGTATGTTTGGGAATGAAGCACATAAAAATATCTGATCTCTTATTAATTTTTATTGTTGAATATCAAGCTACATTGGATGGGCTTATATCTTTGCTAGAGGATGGTCCTTTGTTGGAAAAGATAAACCATCAAGGTTTGCACGTGAGCTGGGGAGACAGGAAAAACTGCTTGTATCAAATTTATTTTTCAAAAAGTAATGTACAATTAGATTTTCTTCATTTATATAATCTCTATTATTTGTTAAGTCTAGCAGCCATTTATAAATTTTGAGGAACATTCTGGAGGTTTTGACGTGATAAATCTTTCGACAAACGTGTTTTGCATTAGATACTTTTCCCCATCAGCACGTTTTGCTACGATAAAATATGGCAATAATAGATTAGTGCAAGGTCAGGTGAATATGGCGGTTGGAAGAGAATAACCGAATTCCATTTTTTTATCCGGTGTTATTCTTGCTGTGTAATTTACTTTTTATGCAGGGTAGCTGTACTTTTGTTATATATAGGATGACCCAAAAAAACGGAAACTATTTAACAATCCAATAAAACCAGGAGTGATGGAAGAAAAATATTTTATTCGTAGTACTTGAAACCTTAAAACATGCCATTTATGAAACAATGATGGAATTTTCATTTTTTAAAAATTACGTCCTGTAGATGGCATCCTCCTGTACGAATGCATTCTTAAAATCTGCTGTTGAGAATCCTTATTGAATTCTGCAACATCTCAGCTGGGATACTGTGAATTTCATCTTGAATTCTAAATGGCGAAATGTTTACTTGCTCAAGCTCACTGTCTCGCAATGTTGCCACTTGCTGATGTCTGGCAATACGCACTTCAAAAATTCCCGTTTTTTGGGGGTAACCTTGTATTAGGGAGCTTCTCGATCTAACTTTGATATGGACCTTGCAGATGGTTTACGTATAGATGTAAATTTAGTGGTATATTTTCTCTAAATGAATAATACACTGAAGATGTCAGCACAACGTTATCTTTCGCCCATGGAGATCAGAATTTGGAATCGGTTGTGGAGATTTATTTGTTTCAATCCAATGACTTCTGCGTTGAATACTGCCATGTATAACCCATTTTAGGAATCTGAAAATTATGTTCATGGCCAAAAATAGTTCAAAACCCTTAGATGAAATGGAATAGGCATCAAACTCCCCAGATGTTATTCTACCGTTGCGGTTTATAAATAAATGACACGTAGATCATAGTACACAATACTCATAAAAAAAAAAAAATCTCTAAGAAGCAATAAAACAATTCAAAGACTCTGGCTAACATTTTCCGCTGATATGAAGTGGAAATATTATCTTAAATCAAGCTACGTTCGCTTCCAGAAAAGTTGGTTCACTGTTATCGAGCTTGATATTTGATTCGCCAGAATCTGTCTTTCTCATTTATACATCTTACCATTCACCCAGGCATTGGATATTGCTATCATATCCGGTTTGGTGTTTCTGCTATGTTTTTAGTGATTCATGGGAAAGTCCAAACAAGAGTCAGCAATGTTATCGGTCTTCACCTGGCATTTCACGCTTCTGTCACATTTCAAACGCCGTTAGGCAGTTTCCTGTAACTTTTCAATGAATATGTTCATGATAATTGTTTCCCTATTAGAACATCCACTTTGCACATTAAAGCCCAGTACTTGATTAGCAGCTAGTTCTCATCATTTTACCGTTGAAATTCCTAGATGTAACAATGAAGTCTGTGCTAACAATGTCTTTTCTCGCACTTTTCGCTTGTGCGAATCTCTTCCTGCTTTTTGCTTTTCACTCAACTGTGATCTTCAAGAATATTAAGGCAATGTCAATCGTTATCTTCTGCCTTCTTAATTCCTCTTCTGTTATTGTTTTCTCTCCTTAATAATGATTTTCTTTTTCTTATATTGTTACAAGCCCTTTTCTTAATTGGGTGTTAAATAATTAAAAATAATGTAAGGGTAACTGTTAGATTTTATGTGCAAATATGTGAGAGTAAGTTAAATTTAAGGACGAAAAGTGAAAAAAATATTTCTAATTAATAAACTGCTATACATGTTGTTGGAAATATATATTATTTCAGAAATAAGATGTTTCACAGGTCGGCTGATGGTCACAAATCCCATAAAATTAAAACGGGCAGTATATGATGCTGCTTTTTAATTAACTTGTGAATTAATAAATCGGCAAATGGCGAGAATGCTAGATTCTGTTGTGAGTAAGGAGTTTTTCTTGAAATGATCCTCAATTTGAATGTTCACCTCGTAGGGTAGTGTTGTGTATGATACACCTAATTTACATAAGCGGACTACCGACCATATAAATATTTTACCGGAAGACGGGGAAGATAGTAGAGATTAAGAAATTGAATCCAGAGACTCTCCGACTCAACCCATTTGCAGGAACAGTCTTCCCAAGAATATACCAAACTAATGTTCTATTCCAATACATTTTGTTAACGTACATTTTGTGTTGTATTATTCCATGGCTTCAACAGGTAGGGTGTTCTACAATGCTGTGCTAGGAAAATTTTTCTCAGACACTACAACAATCATAGGAAAAGTGTGGCCCACCAGCCCCATATGGCCCGTTTCGTTTACTGAATGGCACGCCGAATTCCATGAAAAAAAATAAGGTTCATTATTTTTTTTTATTTATTTCGTTTCGATGTCTTGTCCACTGACATTTACTCATGCATAACCACATACATAAACAGTTATTAAGCCCAACGTTTCTTGAATTTTGTAACTTTTCGTTGAAGGTAATGTCTCCATCCTTTTTAACGATTGATGATTTTCACAAGGAAGACCATGCGTGCAAATATGATTTGCTTTAGAAAAAAGAACGTTCATAATACTTTTTTTTTTTTTGTCTGGAGAAAAAATATATTTTCTGGAGCAGAAACATATTTTTTCCATTAAGAAGAAATCTGTCTTTTTAATTTAAAACTTATTTTTGTATTTTCAAATGAAAAAATAAGAAATAAAACACATGCAACTGTGTCTTTTAACCACTGTCATCTGTGATCAAATTATACAGGGATTCATTTTTTTTTTAATAACTGAGAAAACATTTTTCCCCAAACAATCAACCTCTCGCCATTTCTATGGAAGATGCTTACGCTGATGATTTTCTGCGATGAAAATGGACGAGACAGCTTCAACAAAAAAATTACCTTGGATCTTTTTAGTACTGCGACCTGGCTTATGATGTGACGTATCTGACCCGGCCCACTGGTCGGAAAAGGTTGCACATACTTGCACTATATCCTCTCGCTCATTGAAAAATAATTTACCTGCTCTGAAAGAAAAATTGCCAATACTGACCACATGTGCAGTGCTATTTATTATTACAAAAAAAAAAAAAAAAAATCTTGACGGCTGATTTGATTTTCCGTATGGAAAATAAACAGTGTATTTTAGTGTATTGGCCTGAAAAGAGCTGTGGAAACTAAAGCAGTGGCATTAACTATATAGCCCACCATGAAAAAAGACCGTAGCCAGCAAACATCAGATCGATGGATATACTTAATGAT